GGAAGCTGTAGGCTCAATAGCCAGGGATTTTAATGGACTGATGAAATATTAATGTATACACAACCACAGAATACTCAGTGGGGTGGGATTCAAGTGGTATTCAAACTTAGTCTGAACTCAGTAACATGCTGGGGTTTTAAACTATTTTTGGCAAAGAATAACAGAAGTACTGATAAGTTGAAAAATGGGATAAAACATAGAAGTTTTCAAAGGGCCACTGGCATTTGTACCTGTGTGTTTGTTAGGTAAGAGAACTTGTTTTTGCAGACAAAAGCAATGCAGTGCATCAAATGTGGTTGGGCTCCAGTAAGGCCCATCAGATAGAATTCCTGTGGGAAATCAGTGAGGATAGGGATGTACTAATGTACAGTAGCTAGATGGTTACCATGGTTACTGTTACAAAGGAAGCTACCACTGTTTTTACTGAAGAATTCATCTTGGATAAGACTAGTCTTTTTAAGTGTTTGCCCGAATCTCTTGGTGGAAAATGTGCAGAGCTGCTGGGGGTGTTTTGAAATCCAGAACAAGGAGGTACAGTTGGTGTGGACAAGAAGCACAAACCTCACCTCACAAGAAAGGCTGGCTGACCACAAGCACTGGAGAAACAAGCAGCAGTGTTTAGAAGGATGAAGTGCAGAAAGGTGTATCACACTAGTGCATCAGTGGTTTGAAACAGTATCGTGGCATTGGGGGCACGGAGTACGGGATGAAAAGCTTTGGGAATGATGAAGTCAGCTGTCTGGTTTTTTGCATAGCTAAATATAGATTGGAACCAAGTAGGCCTTTATGCTGAGTCTGAAGGAACTGCAGGAGAAAACAAGATTTTTTGTTCACAAAAAATCTGCCTTTCGTCATGGTAAAATTTAATTTTTCAGCAATGGTGAGGGTTGTTTGCTTACCGCATTTCTTGGGACACCAAGTGTTAATCTGTGGGTGTCCCTGTGTACTCCCAGGTCAGAAGAATTACCGCTGCACCCTCTGTGACAAATCGTTCACGCAGAAGGCTCACCTGGAGTCGCACATGGTCATTCACACCGGGGAGAAGAACCTCAAGTGCGATTACTGCGAGAAGCTCTTCATGCGCAGGCAGGACCTCAAGCAGCACGTGCTCACTCACACACAGTAAGTGACTTCACAGGAGCTGTTGGACTGGCCAGTGCGAGAAATAATGAACAGCCCAAGACAGAATCTCCAGTTTGCAAATAGTTTGGCCTAGGGAGCGTAGGTGGGTTCATCCTCTGAAATGACAGAGAGGTCAGTTCTAGTGTCTGCAGTATTTCCATGACACAGTAAATTCGAAGTGTGCTCCTTGTGTTGTGAAATGGCAGTCTGGAGTGTTCATAATTTTGAAGAGAAGGAGGGGTTGTTTGATTTATATTTCATTATTTGCTGAGAACTGTTTCCATGTCCCAACGTGACCAAAAAAGACAAACTTCTCAGTGCTATTGTCACCGAGGACCCTGTTAGTGAGCTCCACCTGTTTGCTGTAGGGGTGTGGTGCCACCCTTCCCAGCCCTTTCCTCCCTGCAGGTCTCACTTGCATGCTTGCTCTCCCACTCCTCCTGTAGGCAGATTCCTACCCACAGCCCTCTGCCAGGCCAGGTCTTTTGCTCTGAGAATCTCTCCATCCTGTACATTTATTCCCAAGCCAAGGTCCTCCTTAAAAGCTGCTTGCCAAAACTAGTCCCTTTGCTTATTTGATTTTCAGCATCTGGTTTTTGTACTCATTTAGAATCCATTGCTGCTTCTGTCATGCTGCCTAGGAGCCAGTGTAGTGCAGCCAGATGAGTGAGAGAGAGACAGACAGAAACACAGACTTGCTCGGCTGCTTGTTCCTATCTGCTGCTGGGAGGTATTTTGGAGTGTCATTGCAGAATGTGTTGCAGTCTGGTAAGCTCCTCTGCATTTACAGACCAAGGGTTGTTAAAATGCAGGAGCAGTGTTTCCTTACTTGTTCTTCGCTGCCTCCTCCCCACCTGCCTTTATGTAGGGTGGGAAGGAAACTGACCTTTTCATCAAGGGTGGTATCTCTGTCCTTGCTAGAACATGGACCTTAATCAGCATTTTAATACCAGCTGTCTTGTGGCAGGAGCAAACTCACTTTTTTGTGTCTTGCAGAGAACGGCAGATCAAGTGCCCCAAGTGTGACAAGCTGTTTCTGAGGACAAATCACCTGAAAAAGCATCTCAATTCACATGAAGGAAAGAGGGACTATGTCTGTGAAAAATGCTCCAAGGCTTATCTAACCAAATATCACCTCACTCGACATTTAAAAATATGTAAAGGCCCTACATCCAGTCTGTCAGCCCCAGAGGAAGAAGAGGAGGAGGATTCAGAGGAGGAATTAATAGACTCTATGAGGACTGAAGACTGTAGGATTAACAATGGCGTCTATTCAACAGGTGATGTTCTCTCTGGACACAAATGAAGAAGAGAGGGAAACTTTCATGGATATTACTAGTAGGGAAGGAAAAAACCCTCTTCCTTGTTTCCCCAGTCACCAGTGTATGTCAGGTGAGGAGTTTTCCTTCTGTTTTTGTCTCCACACTACCACCAGTTAATATAATCTGTAGCCAGAACACTGAACAAGACTGGACCATGCACGTACGAGTGAAGAGTTGCTAAGGAAATGTGAGACAAGATTTCTTTCACACACGCTGTGCATACTTCTCCAAATCACTCCGATGAATCCATCCTGTGCCAGGACGTGTGACACACCTCGCATAGCCCTTTGAGCAAAGAGCCACGAACCAGAAATGTAGCTGAGGGGTTGCAGTGACCTGTAAGCCAACTGTCCTTAACTGCCCAAGCTGTGACATGAAGAGAAACAAGGAAAAAATGGTGGTGGAACTTTTTAACTGAAGGATGTGGTTTGGCACAAAGCAAGGACTTCTCAATGCTCAGGTTTCCTTCTTAAAACAAAACCTTTTGGTTAAAAAAAAGGCCAGTGAAATCAGCACTTCCATACAAAGTATCCCACTACAGAAAATCAGACATAGGTTTTTGGAGAACAGTTATCCCCTCTTCTCCCTCAAGTTCACAGCCCACGGAAGCAGGTGAAGAGATTAAAGACTGTATGGACTCAGTAAGGAAGGGGCTTACAGACGATCAGGCTGTGTTTACAGTATATGTTACTTCTTGTACTGTAAACCTTTTACCACCTAGAACCATGGGAGGTTTGCTGCTAATACTATTTATGGAATGAAGATTATTACATTTGGTTGTTCTTTAAAAATAATTAAAAATGTGGCTCTTCTCTAATGTTCTTTTTTAATATTTACATATGCTGAAAAAGACTGTTTCCATTTCTGATAATAATGCTAAGAAAAGTAATACCACCTTTTAATCATCTGCCACTCCCAGGCTTTCCTGGGATATGGTATGTGTAGGAGCACTTCCATGAACTCTGATTTGCTGTGTCACTCCTCTGGCTGTGCTGCAAAAGAAGATTCAGCTGTGCTCTGTTCTCTGACAAGGTAATGGGAGGTTCCCTTGGAAAAGAGCCTCTGCTTTGGACCCTAAATGACCTAAGCTCTCCCTGTATGCTGCAGTTCGTAGAGAGCTCCCAGGGTTCTTAAAACCTGAAAATGCTTGCCTCAGATCAGTATGTGACCAAAAAGCTCCAGAGAGACAGGTGCTACAATCTTGGTGAATCCAGGGAAATATGTGTTGCTTCCAGTAATGCAACTTCTCCCAAAACCAAAAAGCAACTTTGAGAGCTACACTGCCAATTATATTACCTAGGGGTAGAGGTAAGAGAAATCACTTACCCTCAAAGATCTTGTCACAAAGCATTTATTTAAAATCAAAGCTTTGATAAACTTGGAAGTTTTCAATGGAGAGCAGTTAAACAGCAGTGGTTCTGGTACATACACCTTCTTAGGCTTCACAAAAGCATTTGTTGTCCACACATCATGCTCTACTGCTTGGCAGAGACAGGATGGAGGCAGGAGTCTCAGCACATACAGAGTATTCTTGGTTCCTGCAGAGCCATGCTGAGCACCTTCATCAGACTACAAACAGCTGAAGTAGTTTTAAAGCAGCCAGTTGCCCTCAAGGGATAGGAAGGAAAATTACAGACCAGCCTTTTCCCCAGCTGCAGTTTGTAGGGACACAATTTACCTGTTTTACCTCAGCAGCATGAACTACATTGAGTTATAGTGAAAAGCAGCAGAAGAGCTTGGCAGCTGTGAGTATGATCCTACAGCTGCTTTGGCATCAGTGGATTTAATAGCCAGGGTACTTTGCAGCAGGAACACTCTACAGGCACCTTCAGTGTGTGCAGAGGGCAAGTGCTCACTGGAAGGTAAGAGCATCACTTGAGTTCCTGAGGTAAAGCAGGTGGGTGTTACATTATAAATGCAAGGAAATTATTTGAGTCATATCCCTTGATTAGGTTCCTGATTCTGCAAACAAGGGGCTTAAGTTGGTGGTTAAACTGATACTTAAGATTTTCCTCTGTGCCCAGCAGGTGTCAGGCAGAAATGACTGAACAGAGTTAAGAACATAAGAAAGAGAGCTCTTCACCAGTAACAGTGAACAGCTGGGATCCCAACCCTCACTTTGTGTCCTGACAGCCTCTCCTCCTACTTGAGTAGCAGCTCCTTATTTCAGTTCAAATTCTCTTGAAATACATCTGGAGTGTGAAGAAAAAAACCCCAATACTATGTGCAGTGTCACTGAATTTCAGGTGCTGTGGAACCTGGAAAAAGAAACCCCCAATCTTGGTGGGATAGAGCTGGGTTATTTCTGGTTTGATACTGTGTTAGAAATACATTCCAAGATTCTGCTTGGAGACTCCAACTTGTTGCCTGAGAACTATTCTTAAGATGTAAAAAGTTATAAGGAAGATCTGTCAAAATCTGTAAACCTAGCCTCAAATTAAGGATAAATTATTTATTTACACTTGTAATTTAAGTCAATTCATCTTTTGTTTATTTATTACACAACTGTTGTATGAAGTATTTTTCCTTATGCCCTTAGAAGGTAGAAGATCTAGTGACTGTTCCATTTTATGTATCAGCTTTACATATGGTAGCCCCTGTTTCAGGGATCATTATCTCAGGCTAAAGCAAGTGATTCAATCTTTCAGAGCTGGTAATAGAGGCAGGAGCTCAGAGCTTAACCACACCACCATCTTTCTTTGGCTGAGATGAAGAAGCTTGCAGATTGCAAGACACCAGTCATTTCCATGAACTCTCACTGAACGGGGGCATTTGCAGAATACACATTAGTTGTAGTCCCATTAATTACTTTGATTTTTTGATGTTTGGTCCATCATGATTCCATTGGTGTCTCCAAATCATTGCTGCTTCTGCTGGCTGTGGAGCTAGAAGCCACAGAGTTTGCACTAGCCAGGACGAGCCTCTCTCTGTTTCCAAAAACTTCATTCACTGCAACACAAATGGAATTGCTTACATGTTGCTCTCCCAGAGGGAAGAGGAGTAGAGCAGGGACAGCCTGGTGAGCACCATGGAATGGAAATCCCAATGTACTGGGCTTTCAAAGCTCTTCCCCTCAGCCCAAGTACAGAGTTGAACCTAAAGGTCAGAAAATTGCCTGCCTATGATACTTCAATTAACAAGTTCTGCTATTTTTCCTCCAGAGCATCTAGAGGTTTCCTCTACATAATTCTGTACCTAAGTACTGTAAAACTGATGAGGTTTGAAGACCACATCATTAAGTTTAAATAATTTATTTCTGGTTTTAGTCTCTGGTTCCCAATAGGCTCTTAAAAGCCTTCTCCAAAAAAAAAAAATTCTGTTTAGTTACAGGTGATCAAAACCAGTCCTCACTTTTCTTCCCATAAGTACTCAAAAAATATGATACCAAATCACATCAAGACTATCAAGAAAAAAACAAAACATAGGTATTATAAGGAATAAGGTATTACACATCAGTTGCAAGAACATAAATTGTGTCAAGCAGTTTTCCAATTTAGAAAAAAACTCATGTTTTTTGAAGCTGAAAATGTGACCACGCATACAGTCTTGGAGTATTTAAAAATACTAACCTATAGTTTTCTGTCAGAGTTGCAATGCATTACTGAATACAAATACACCCTGCAAGCAAGGGGAGAACCACAACATTCAAAGAAATTAGAACATTACCTGCAGAGATCTTGCTTATATCCCAAACACGCAGCCCTTCCCGCTCTCCTCCAAAGGCAAAGACAAAGGGGAAGTCAGGGCAGCAAGCTGCACAGAACAGAACTCCCTGGCAGGGTGGGAGAAAAAAAAAAGAGATTTTTTTTTTTTTTAATCTTAAAATGAATTTGTCATCTGAAAACACTTTCACCAAGCAAGTTTAAACGAATTTAATTAAGTTTCTGAAACTTCTTTCATAAAGACATAAAATGAAAGTCAAGAGCTGCTAATTATAAACAGTTGTTCATATCTTTTTCTTGAATGTAGCAGATGCAAGCTACATAGTTGGAGCACCCATACATGGAGCACCCATAGTTCTACTCTGAACATTGTACCTGGAATTTGTGACTCTAAGGCTTTAAAGCACTCTGCCAATTCCACATGGAATACTGCACTGTGATGAGAATGATTTACCCAGAATATGTTACTATTTTTTTCCCTATGAGACCTTAGGTAGAACAAGATTTAAACTAGACAGAAAAAGAAAAAGCAGACAGTTTATATATAAAACTTAGTAGAATCAATACATAAATACTACTATACCATTTTCATATCCCTGGAATGGACTAAACTTGGTCTGTCTCCCAGGATATCCCAAATTTTCACATATTTGTCAGCAGATGATGTCACAAGGCACCCTTTGATCTGACTGCTTAGTTGTAGCCCTGGAAGATGAAGAGTGCAGCAGCGTGAGAGCAACAGGCAATCCCCATTTCACAGAGATCAGGATACATTTTGAAGTGAAGATATGAGAACAACCCCAATATACTCCTCACACTAACTCCAGAACAAAGGAGCAGAACATTAATGAAAGTTCCATGCTGCCACTTTAGTGAGAGCCAAGGGAACCATGCAGGCCTATTTTGCCTCCCAATCCCCTCAGCAGAGATTTGTTTCACATGCCAGCTACCATGATCAGCATGCACAATTTACTTGTTTAACAAAGAATAACTACACCTCAGTGCTATGGATTAAAGGCATCTTCCAGATGTGCCTTGCCCACTTGGAACAAAGAGGACACAAAGGCAATTTACCTGACACCTCTTCATCGTGAGCTTTCAGAGTAAACAGGGGCTTATCAGCACGAGCATCCAGACAGTACACAAAGCCATCGTCTGTGCTTGCCTACGGAAACCACAGCATTTAAACAACAAACAGCCACCATCACTGTTCTGGGAAACACTGCCAGTGAAGTAACACCCACCCTCTGGTAAACCCCTCTGATCTGAGGCAGACACTGCTTCTCCCTAGGACATGTCACACTGTTCCCAGGCCTGCACCCCCAAAGTCAGGCTCCACCCAGCCGGTACGTCAGCTATTTTATGAACCTCAATTATGCTGCACCAATGACATGAAAGTTTTAATCCCATACAAACTTCTTAAAATGTATTTTCAATAGAGTTGCCCCACTAAGTTTGGTCCTCAGGGCAGGCGATTAAATACAGAGCCTTCAGTCTCTTTACTGTCAGTTTCGTTTTGGAGCCATTAGTGGCTTTTGGAGCCATCAGTTTTTGCACAGGACTACTGACAGAAGTCCTGTGCAAAACTAAGTGTGATTACACCGGGAGAGAGCCACATCATAAAACCAACAGAGCTGAGCAGCCACTTCTGTTGGCTGTATACATAAAGCAACAGAGAACTAGACAGCCATTGAGATAATAGGGAAGATTTGGTTTTAAATTCTGTTGCACAGTTTTATTACAAAAGACTCAATAACACCAAGATATTTTTCCTTTATACTCTAGGTGGCTGTAGCTCTCTTCTCCCAGGTAATAAGCAATAGAACAACAGAAAAGTTGCACCAGGGGTAGTTTAGATTGGACATTAGCAAAAATGTCTTTACTGAAAAGGTTGTCAGCACTGGCACAGGCTGGGCAGGGAAGTGGTGGAATCCCCACCCCCGGAGGTATTTAAAGCCATGTCGATGAGGCACTGATGGACATGGTTTAGTGGTGGATTGGCAGTGCTGGGTTAACATTTAAACTCCATCTCACAGGACTTTTCCAACATAAAGGAGTGGATCGCTCCATACCAGCCAGGAGGACAGTGCCCTCTAGCGCTGACTTGAAACACTGAATTAATATTCATAATCTCCGTTCTAATTAGCTATTTCTCAGCTGCAGTTCCTTCATTGCATGAAACACAACAGGAACTCTGCAAAGGAAAATGTATCCCAGCCACTGAACACTGCAAGGACGTGACCAAGGTTGTCACCTCCGGAATTTCTACTGTCACAGTGAAGATACCAAGTAAGTAGCTGGTCTAGAGATACTTACTGAAAAAACTACCTAAAAACATCCTCCCCCAGACTACATTATTATAATAAGCAGCACAAACTATCCAAATATTTGTCCATCAGCTCCATTCTGATTCAGAAACATTATGAACACTAAATAGCTTAACACAGGTTAAATGACATGGCAACAACCAACCAGAACAGAAAAGCAGTACTCACCAAGAAATGGCAAGGTGAGAAATGATTCCAAATGACTCTCTCAACCTGACCACTAAAGCGCCACACTCGATGGCTGTCCTGGGGGTTTCTGCAGTCGTACAGCACTGCTGATCTAGGAGATAAAGGGACAGGAAATAAAATAAAATAAAAAAAAAAAGATCAGGGCAGAACGCTTCATTACATAGTTAGCTTTCTCACTGACATCTACAGAAGCTCCATGTAAACTATAATTAAAAAATTAAATGGAAACAACTTCACTACTTAGTCTTCTAATTCAGTAACAGATTAAACTCTTGCAGATAAACATAAAATTTTTCCATGTGCTTCAAAGTTTCATCTTGGTTACCCCAACAGCCTGTCTATTGAAACTAAGCAGAGCTTGAATTTACTCAATACATAAGATACTTATCACATAGCAGACCATAATTATGCAAATATATCACTTAATTATGAACAGACTTCAGTAAACTCAAGTAATGATGCATTAATTAGGAAATCATTTTGTCACACATATGCATACATTTTCAAATGTGCTTAATAAAAAAGTAATTTCTAAAAATCCAACAATCTTAACAAATAGTTGGAGAAACAGTACTCCACAAAGGAGAAAGAGTGGATGGCAGTCAGTGGGTTCTCTGGGATTCTTTACAGGCACGTGCTCAGCTGAGTGGCTGCAGAATCTGTCCCAACTCAAAAAGCTCCTGGGTGCAAATGCAAGGGAGGAGTGGTCATGTCAGTCCAGCATCATCTCACCACTATCAACATCCTCAGTGTAACTCACTCCCACTCTATCACGTAATGAAAGAAGTGTGATGTAAGTTTCCCAGGTTTTTTAAAGGCATTTGACACAACAGATTCTTTAAGTCTGAGTTCCAGGTTCTGAAGGCATTGCCCACTGCTCACTGAATTGCCTGTGGTCCTGTGCAAGGCTTTGCAGGAAAAATCCACAAGGGGCACACTTAGTTTATGGATAACACAGTGGTTTAGAGGTGTTCATGGTATCAAAGGGGCAGCTAAAAAGGGATCAGCAACTGGTCACTGCTTGGACTTAAGGCTTCCTTTCATCAAAGGAAGTCGAGAGGGAAAAGACAGAAGCAGCTTCCTAACAGCAAAAGGTCCTCCTCCAATACTTCAGCAGATGCAGCAAGAGCAAACAGAAGCCAGAGAACTTAAAGGCTTGCCTAAAGATTGGCAAGTCTATAAATTATTTTAACATAAGGACAAAGTCCTAAAAGCAGAATAAAAAAAATCAATGTAAGAAAATCATGGTGATAGACTAAAATTTGAAAGTTACTCCATTGAGATGGGAGAACAGAGAGGGATATTTTTGGCTGGCAGGACTTACAAGAACTGGCAGCCACAGAGTAGACCAAGTGTGCAGACACAAACCATTTCCCAGCATCTCCAGGCTGCAATCACAGGAGACAGCCCATTATTCTTTGGCTGTGCCTACAGAAGCTGGAAGGGGAGAAGTTGGATTTTGAAGTCCCTTGTGCCTCCACCCTGGCCTTGCTGGCTGGCAAAACTTGGGCAAATTTTCACAGGAATAAACAGCGACATGTTCCCAATGAAGAAAATGCCATAAGGCCAAATTAAGAAATAAATTTGGTTTGGAGCAGGCAGACACCTGGCACAGAAAATGTCAGTCCAGATGGTTAAAGCATTTGCTACCCCTGAAAAAGAGGTAAGGAAAAGTACATCCTGGCCATATGCAAACCTGGCTTCCTTGCTGGAAAAAATAACATTACTCAAAATTGGCAGAGTTATAAAAAAAATGAAAGAAAACACAAGGCTTAAATGAATATGAATACCCTCCCCAGGTGCAACATGTGAAAACATGACCCTGACATACTTATCAAATGATCCAGAAACGAGGGTCTGAGTTTCAAAGGGATGAAACTGCAATGTCTGGACCTAGATAATGGAAGATTTTATGTAACACACATATACAGGAACTTTCTTGGAACAAAGCACAACCATCCCACTCACATTGCTTAAAATCAGTGCAAGAGATGTGCACTACTTCAAACAGCCCCACCTGGTGAAAACAAGATATTGTCCAATACAATCTGACCAAACAGAACTCCATGCCCCCTTTCTGCCCTAGATATTAATTAAAAAAAAAAAGAAAAGAAAAAAAAAAGCTGGAGGTAAAAGAATATCTGCTTCCAGTTTGGGGAAAAAATGCAGATATTCACAAAAAATGAAAATCAGAAGTTTGTCAAGGGCAGTGACTTTGTTAGCAGCAAAATAAGGTTACAGCTATTAATAACTAGGTTTTACATTTTAATTACTATGAGATTAATTCATTTCTGAGGTACCATCACTATGGTATTTTAGTATCATTTATTTTAAACCTTTTCACCTAGAACAAACTGTAACTGACACTCATTGTTCCCTTAAGAGAGTTATAGTTTGACCTATGTTCAGACATCTATTTTTGTAGCTTATACCAGCATTATTATATTCCCCACCATTAGGGCCAACACACAAAAGGTATTTTAGAAACTGTTACAAAGCTTTTTTAACTTGTTTAAAGAAAAGTTAAATAACCTTTTAAAAAGCAAATACAGTGCTGTTTGAAAAAGCAACTAATTAATAAATTAAAACAATTCTACACAGATGTCAGAAAATTAGAGGATTGTTGTTCTGAGGGTTCATTACCAAGCAGCAAATGAAAAACTGCAGTTAAATTTTTCTCTGTATTCTACAGTGGAAGAAACACAGCAATTATTCCATACCTTGTCTGTATGCAGTGTCAGGCTGGCTGCTGGCTTACCCACAGCCATGTCCCACAAAATCACTGTGTTGTCAGCAGAGGCACTTGCTAAAACATTCCTGATAACAGATCAAAAATTAGTTTTAAAATTCTTTCTACAGGTACAAAGAAATAATGGTCAAAAATCCAAAATACACACAGTGCCCAATTCTGAGAACAAGTACACTGTGGTCTACAGATGATTCCTCTCAAGCCTGAGGGATAACTCCCTAAAGGCAATTCTAAGTTTTAAGTAAAGATTATAAATAGGATATATTACATTACATTATAGGACACTTATAACAATGACAGCTCTGCTCCTATTTCCCCTGACATTACTTACAATACCATTTGCTCAAAGATTTCTCAAACAAAACAAAGTCTTTGAAGCACATTATTTCCTTTGACATTGAATAGTACTTTTAAACACTACCTATGCTACTTTGTTCTGTTTGCATATTCATGCAGCCAAGAACCTGACAAACCTGTTTGTGAAATATTTTGCCCTTCAATATCTGTTTATATTCCTACTGAAGACACAACACTATATCCTTTGTAGACTGCTGAATATAACGACTAAAATTTCAGTTACTCTACAGACCCCATATTTTAACTTGAATTTGAACAATTGTGTTAACAGCAATAAAAACAGCTTAAAAGTTTTATCAGAAAAAACAAATCAAAACATCCCTAAATGCCTGTAAAGCACACACTACATTTCCTATAACTGCTTCATTGCTTTTAAAATCAGATTTATTACCTCAATATGTTGTTTCTGATTGAAAGTGTTCCCCCTCCCCTTTTTATATTAACCAAGTGTTTCTGACTGAAAGAGTTAACATTCTCCTGGAAAGGCTGTTTTCCCAAGCAATGTTACAAAGGAAAGTTAAGAAAATGCATAGTGAAGTCTGTAAGAACATTTTACAGTAACACCACTATGACCTACAGGCAGAAAATTATTTGTAGAGAGTTGTCACAACATGCCTTGCTTAAAACAAAGAAACTACAATAAAACATTTTATATACGAGCTGCTCCAAGGAGTTCCTTGTTTTCTCCATAAGCTGCCCACTTCAGGGCTGGTTTTATTTCCTGAAAGACCTACCAGAATCAATGAATTTGTAACTCAGCACATCACAGAATTATGCATTTCAAACTTAACTACTGAAGTCATAATTTTTTTCATCCTTGTCTGTATTATCACCAGACTATTCCTAGGTACACAAATGCTCTTCTTTTGTAAGAGCAAGAGTGATGGACTGGTCACTGTCACACTGTGCATATGTGTCTGATTTAAGAACACTGTACATTAAGAGTGCAATTTATATACATTTACTGAGGTCTGTGTGGGTGTTTCCTTCATCAGTATCTAGATAAGAACGCAGTACAAGGGAAGGCTCACACCTGCTCATCAGAATATTCAGAGTTGTCTGTGAACATGTTCAAAGGCAGAGGCATTTATGACAGAAGAAAAAAAAAAATCAGTCTGTGTCTAACTAAAGCAGTTTCAAGGCCCCTGCTGAGGATCCTCTGACAGATGAGCTGTTAACAACAACCTAAGTGACAAAAACCAACAGCATCTTTACTTCAGTCAGCACACTGTCCTTGACCTCTGCCCCAGGATGGGCCAGCTTCATGTTGCTTCTATAGCAGCACTTCATTTCCAGTTAATTCAGGCAACAGGGAATTTTCTCTGCCTAGAGGCCAGAGGCATTTCTGTAACTGAGCTATTAGGGCTTTTACACTCTCCTGTTCACAGTTCTGGGGCAAAAGCCAGAAGGAAAAAAAACCAAAACAGAATAGCAAGGACTTTCTTCTATAAATCTGCTTGTCTCTGTTGGAATGGTGGTTTAGGCCACTGGCAGAACAGCGTAGCTCAGGGCAGCCCTTCTGCTTCTCCAGTTTGAACAAGTGAAATGTAGACAATTTATCAAATGGCTCACACCCACCTTTGCCCTGCCCTCAACCTGCAAATCAAAAATGACCTGCAGCAATATACAAGTATCCAAAAAAAATTAAAAATCAAGAACTCTAGTTAAAAAAAATATTAAAAAAAGAGTGTATTTTTAAGAATGCATTAATTTCAGCAGTGCTTTCAAGTTTTTGGATTTTGTGTGAAAACTGTATGCCTAATTGAGACTGCAATTTTCTAACACCCATTGTTATTCAAGTATTCTTTTACCTGCTTTGTTTATTCCATGAAAGATCAAGCACAGCATCAGTATGTCCTTCAGTCCCTTCTGAAGATAAACTCTGTGTACAAAGACAACATAAACAGACTTTTGAAAATTACAGCTTCAGTGCAAATCAAGCATTACTCCACATTAGTATGAATTCCCTAAAGCCTTCACAAACAGCTTCATATGAAATTACTCTCACTTGCTGCAACACAGCCTTTGAGAGAACCATCTCTGCACCACCTGCACCCTGCCTCCTACCCCAGATCACAGATTGCTGCAGCTGCTGGGTTTACAGAACTGGTTATTCCCTCCAGGCTAGTCAAAGAAATCTCATTATTTCTAGCCAATGTGCAACTTCTTCAGCTTCTTTCTAAACTCTCCTGGCAGTTCCCTCTCTCTCCTCCCAATTAGCTGAGCTTGGGTCCTTGCAACTGCCAGTTCCTATAACTTCCAATTTTAAATAGTTAAGATTCAAAGTTTACTGGGACACCACCCCACTCCTGTTCTGCTCTTAATTCCAGGCTTTAGTTATTTAGAGAACAATTAGCATTTTAAATATTGTAGGGAGGAAAAAAGAAGGCATTATCCCTGCAATAAATTTCCTCCATCCAACCAGATAAACCTTTTTGCAACACTTACTTTCTTTCCTTTCTTTTTCTTCTTTTTCTTGCCTCCAAGAGAAAAGACTGGTTCCAAGGATTCTACTACATCAAGGTCCCAAATGTCAATGACTGGGGTCATGTTACCCACTGCAACATAATTTCCTACAAACAAAAAATGAAATGCAACCACATTTATTTAGTTATGAAACAGTCTATTTGGCAATCCAGCTGTCCCTTATTTCTTTGGTTAAGTAAAACTTATGTGCCACAATCTTCTACTTGAATGTATTTCTGTTTAAAACTGGCAAGGAGCTATTTAAAAATATCAGCTGACAGCAGATGTTGCCAGAAAAAATTTACTTGCTCTCCTTCCCCTTCAGTACAAGTAACTGTTCAAACAAGCTGTATAAAGTTGCATGTTTTGTTTGTTTTTGAAAGGAAAAAACAAACAAAACTAAACCACATCCCCTGTACTATGGAAGAAAAAAATCTGAGAAACACAGGAAAAATGTTACTAAATACATAAATATATAAAATATATGTACATTTTGCTGTGGTTTACATTTAGTTAACTGCACTGGACATAAAGAAATTTAACATAAGCAACCTTCCATTTGCAAACAGAAAATAAAGCAAATTTTAGAGATTGCTCTGGTCTGCTGACAATAACTTAATTGTTTGCAATAAAATCAGTATTTTAGTAAAAGCATTTGTTACAGCAGCATTACTGAGATGACTGTATCACCAAGCAAAAATACCTGATATTCACATCTTGGTTATCTCAAGTCAATATTATCTTGACATTAACATTGATTTTATTTCTTTGTACTGCAGGAAGAATTTATTTAGTGACAACATTACACTTACACACTTTTCAAGCAAAAATTCTTTAACTAGACACTGACAGTATCCTTTGTAATTTACCTGTTGATTCATCTGGACTAGGATCAAAATTCAACCACTCCAGACTCAGAGGGTAAGCAGGCAAGATAATGTCATGATGGACATAAAATGAGTCCTCTTCATGATTATAAACTGAAAAATAATTAAAGTTATGCAACATATCTTTGTTAGTGAAGAGGGAAAGCAACCAACTGTGAGCAGGTTACTTCTAAAAAGGCAGTTGTGGAAAAAACAAAATTCTCAAGGAGATTTAGAAGGAAAATTCACAGAGTCTTCAGAGTTTTACTGTAGAGGCCAGACCCTCTACAAATGCTATACCTCACAGAATTACACAAATTAAACATTCTTCTGTGTACTTTAGATAAAGGTGTGACAAGTTCAGTCAGGGTTCAATACTTTTACTTTGTTTATAAGATCTCTTCATAATATGTGCTCCATATCCAGCACTTCCTGCATCAGGACACATTCATTTTACAGGGTTAGCAATCAAAAAAATTATTCCAGATGAAGTTGAAAGGGAAATTAAGGTAAAAAGACAAACCAGAGGAAGGTGAAGAAGTCAGAAGTTACCTTTAGCAGATGGTAACTGAGATACAGGAAAAGTTTTGGTAAAGCAGCCATTTACTAAATACAAATTCACTGTAGCCAGCTATTTTTCTCCATATAATAACATAACTTACCAATTGGACAGCAGAGAAAACCCATTAATTATTTTAATAACATCCTATCACACACAAAATCACAGTGCATGTGACAGATGTTCAGATACTAACTGAAGTCTCCAGTTAACTAAGTTATCTCAGTAGTCAACTAAGACAAGGCTACCCAATTTTAGAAGCTGCAGAAGCCTTTGCTATTGTTCTGTAAGTTTATATTTGGTATAAATTTACAGTTAACAAAATTTGTAAACACCTCCAGACATAGAAAATGCCACATGCTGCTATCTGACGAGATGCTTTCACACATTTTGGTCTTGTTGGTTGCTTAACATGAAATACTTTTCCTACAGAAACACAGACCACAACACAAGTGGCCAGAAACATTCCCAAAAAGAACCACAGTAAGCAAAGATGATAATGTCAGCACGTTCAGTAGTATTTATTGGCTGCAACAGAAAAATTTTTACACAGCAGAAGTCAACCTATTTCTAGAATAAGCAATATTCAGGCCCTATTAGGGATTATCTCTCCTAGACCATGATGATAAAGGTGCTGGTTCTTCTAATCCCAGCAGTGGAAAGCCCACTCAAAGAAGCAAGGAGAAAGGTAAAGAAAAAAACCAACAAAACAAACCACTAGAGGATGCTTGCAGGATGTGGAAAATAAGACTGGAATGAAGAGCATCTGTTCATCTGTTCAGAGAATAAAAATGCTATAGTATTTCCTAAAAGTTTTAAGAAATGAAATAAGGAAAGGAATTGCTATACAGCCTGAAATAAATAACAATAACTACTCAGGAAATACTCTAGTCCTGAAAAGTAGCTAAAGCACCATGACATGGAAAAGGACAAAACACAAGGCAGAAGCGGAGAAAAATCCTTCTCAAAGCCAACCTACTCCCTTTTCAACACAGCCACATGGCACATGCTAGGCAAGACACTTCCTATGTTCACTGCAAAAAACAAACCCTATTTTACTCACCATGGACCTCCAAACTACAGCAGTCTTTATCAACTCTACCACAAAGGACCAGATTGTCACTGGGCTTAATCAAAAAGTCCTCCTGTTCATATTGCTCCTAAACAGCAAAAGGAGAAGATGAGAGGTGTTGAGCAGAGCACACAAAAACACGAAACTACACATGTTCAAAAGCTGGAATCGGTAATTCTGAACCCCAGCTGAACACACTCAAAATCACTCCAATGCCCACCCACCTAAAACCATGTTATGGTGCTGAACAGAGAAAAGCAAGAACCAGACCCAATTCTTGGGAGAGTGAATAGTCATTAAATTAGATTGAAGGGCTTTTATGTGAACATAGGTGGGTTTGTGGAGGTGTTTAATTATCAAATATAATTAAACAATATATATTATCAATATACATATATTTCAAGGCTATCCTGATGAAGCTGATTGCTGAAAAAAAACCCATCACCAGGAGTCCACAAACAAAGGTGATTTCCCTTGTGCTCCTGTGCCTTGACCATTTATATAACAGCATTTTACCCAATAACAATGCTGCAGCTGCTCCTCACATCCAGGAAATACTTCCACTGTCTACTTCCTGGAAAGTATTTCCCAGGAAGTACAGCCAACAGCACTACCAGGCATTCAGCTGCACCAGAACAGATGTAACCTCTCATCTGATTTTCATTGATACTGAGGAATGGAAGGAACTCGGGAATTTTTGTTGTGAAAAGTTAAGAACTGTACAGAAGTCAATAATCTTACCCAGAGTACCATCCTTCCCATCTTCAACACATACAAGACTTTGTGGACTTCTCATTGCAAGCTTTTTTTTTTTTTTTTAATTCACTTCAAGCATACTTCAATATTTGAATTCTATCAAGTCCTGCAATTCTTTGAATTCACTTAAGGCTACACAATACATAGTCTTCAACAGTTCCAGTAGCAAATATCAAATGACAACAGAAAATTGTTGTCATTTGATATTTGAAGAACTGCATAACTTTTATAATTTGGGCAAAGAACTTGAGCATAGGAAGAAGAGCTTGCTTTTCTTTTGAGAAAAAAAGGTGTTCATTTCCTGCATGTCTACAAACCCAGCTTCTGCAAAGATGTTCCCCATCTGACAGTGGAAACTAATGCAGGCAGAAGCAGCCAATGACACAATGACACGGTACTATTTAGATATATATATATATATATATATACACACACACACACATATACACACACACCTATTTATACACAGAACACTGATATATTAGACACCTTGCCTGAGTCCAGAGTCCACCATAGCCTGATTTCTTACACAAACTGGTGGAAGGTGCAAGAGTCTTGTAATCTGCGAAATTTTCTAATTTTGGCCACTAGCTGCCTGAGACTTGTTATTTCTTCAAGTATTTTCTGTGACCTACCAGGCAGGTGAAAAACCACTCCATGTACAGAAGTGCATGGTTTAAGTAAGGAGCCAGCTCACCTTAACCTTCTACTTAAATGCAAAAGGCACAGAAAGAAGGAACTGCACAAAGCAACCTGAAAATAAAAGAGCACCATCCAACCAAAACTCTGGCACACCTTTGAACAAGGACTGCAAGCACTTAAACACCCCAAGGCAGAGTGGACAATTTAACTGATTTTAAAGTTTGTGCAGTTTAAGATAATGAACATTTTTTAAGTACTCACAGTGGTTTTTAGTGTGATGTAAGGATCGTTTTCATTGCTCCCATATACTGTCAGAGTAGCCAAAGAGTCTCCAAGTTTCAAATCACCTAGATGGGAATTCAGAACACTTTTTATACATGTCTGTAACAGGCAAAGTTAGAAACTCCTGTACCAATACCTGTATTACCTATACAGCAAAATATCAGGAGTGGGCTACATGAACTTCCAAGTTCCAAACATAAGTAGCTTGGTAAGATAAACTGCTTAGTGCTTTCAGGGACTTCTGCTGCTCTGCTCCACTCTACAGCAGCCACAGTGACCTTTCCAACATGCACTTGGTCTTGGTGTCATCAAGGGGAATGCTGAACTGTTTCCCTCAATAAATGACTTCCCAAGATGAGGCAACAAAATCATTAAAACTGTGAATTTCTGAAACTTAACACAGTGTAGCCTTAGGATATTAAAGCCTTCAGTACAACAAGAAGTGGAAAGGTTCTTCACTTACATTGCACATCTGACACACAAATTTTTCTTACCTGTGTATTCCTCAGCATCATAATTGTCCAAATCATATTCATCCAGTTCATGATCAGACAGCTCTTCATTATTTTGGGAAGACTTAGTGCTGCTGCCGGGCACGGGTGCATTTGTGTCACCTGCTGTCTGGCCCTCACCACTGCCACCAGCACCGTCCCTGTGGAAAGATCACAGCCCTGAGAAATTGTGGCAGACACACAGAACACTTCCAGGGGGCTGCTGGTGAGATTTCAGCACACAGTCTCAGTTGCTCACATGGCTTTCGAGTCTTTATGCCAATAATTTCGAAATCCATCCACTCCTTCTAGAGCCTTTCCTAAAGTACAAGGCATCTGTAACTCTCAGGCTTTCAGAGGAAGTTTTTCCTTGAAAGTTTTCATGACAAAACATGGCATATATTTTCCTCAGCAAGGTAAACTGTGTATGCAATTCCCTTTCTCTTACATGTTTTTTGTGGATACAGTGCTCTCAACCCCACTTCTGTGCATTCACAAGTGTCCATGTCATTCCTTCCTTTCTTTTTCCCACTCAGAGGCATGGTCATGTGTGAGAATTCCCACATTTCTTCAAGCTTTTTAAGACCTAATTTCCTCACACTTTCCATACTTAATCAAAGTAAAAATCACATAGATTAACATTAATTAGGTAAGGTCACACTGTGGATTCTTCTTATGGGGCAAACCATGCAACATCTAGAAAAACCAGAACTTTGTGGCATCAATTCTGCATGCAAGGAATTCAGGAGAAGGAAATGCACATTAAAGACTGTTTGAGAAGATAACAAACACCCAAGATGTCCCAATGGAGCATGTTCCAAAGAAACTCACCCCTGCTCAACACACTGCATTTCTGTCCTGCACATAAAATTCCCAAGCAACAATGAGCCAAGGCAATTCTCAGATACAGGTTCTAAACTAAATATCAGAAACCTACTTTTCCTAATTTGTTCAGTAAAATAAACACTTCACATTAGCAACATAACTAGAGATGAATATCGAGGCAATTAAATAACTAAATCCAAGTTTGATTGATGACAAACTTGGACAGGGAAAAAAGTGAGGTGTTGCAAATTCTGCAAAGTACAACAAATTATAAATAGATCAGCTGTTTCAGATGGTCTTCATACTTCCATCCTGAAGTTTTATAGCATGCATCTCAAATCTTTCCATGCTTTTGAAATTGCAAGAGAAAGGAAATCACTCAGAAAACCAAAAGCTCACACACAGAAAGGGGAAACAAATAACTCCACAAAACCCAGAAACATTATCAGTTAAGAAATTAACACAATGTGAGAATCTTCCAAATGTTTAAGATTATTTTGGAACCATTAAATAACCAAAACCAGAAAAAACAGAATAAAATACATCCTGGGACAATACAGTCTGTAGTGTATCAGCAGTGTCACTGATACATCCAACAGAAACAGGGTGAACAATATTCACCAAACTATAAAAACTTTTTCTGCTACCTGTTGCATCTGTTTAACCACACACACTGTGGCACAACCACACACCCTACAGAGCTGAAACACGCAGAAGCCTAAATCTATGAACAGATCTATCAGAAAATGGCCAGAAAATGGAATAAGTCCTCAATCCCCCATTCTTTCTAGACAAAAGAGAGACATTTCTTTCTTGTCTTCTACGTCGCTTATTGTATTAGTTTCGTAAATACATTTTTCTTAAAAGCAGAGTGACATCACTTAACACAACTACATAACTAAGGGCTCTCAGTGCTGAGGGGAGAGCTGCGATGCCTCCGGTTTCACTGTGCAACATAAACACAGCCCTGAGTGACGTTCTGCCTTTTTTACCAAAGCACGACTACCCCGTCACTCTGATCTCCGCTGTGCCCTCCCCACCTAGAGTGCCCTGTCCCACCCTCAGCACCCTTTTTCCCGGTCAGTTCGGGACTCCCGTCTCCGTTTGCCACATGTCCAAAGCAGCCACGGATACAAACCCAGCGCTTTAATTCTCACTACAGGCGGGAAGCGGAGCTCCAGCGAGCGCCAGGCCCCGCAGTGCCCATCGCTGCCAGTGACAGCTGCGGAATCGCATGTCCCCGACGGCAGCACCCGATGTTGCTCCCGATCCACCGCCCCCGACGCTGCCCCGCTGGCCCTGCCGGCCGCCAGCCTGCCCTGGCACAGCGTCCGCAGGAGGAATCCGCGCTGCCTGCTGCCGGTCCCCGCTCCTCGCTGCAGCCCCCGGGCTGCGCTCCCCCCGTGCCCCCTCCCCTCGCCGGCTCTGAGCGGCCGAGCAGAGCCCGAGAGTGGCGGCGAGTCCCTCCCGCTGCCCCGGCTCACCCCAGCCTGTCCTGCGCCTCCTCGATGAGACCCTTCAGCTCCTCCTCGCTCAGCTGCACCTGCGGGGCGGACACAGAGGGGTGAGGGCGGCGGCGGGGGCGCGGGCGCTCCCTCAGCGCGACCCCGGCCCCGGCCCCACCTTGTCGGGCGTCTCCTTGGCCACGCCGCGCCGCACCCAGGCGGCGCAGGGCACGGGGCCGCTCATGGCGGCACCGCCACCGCCACACGTGCGAGCGGCCCGGCGCGCCGCAGTGACGTCACCAGCGCAGCGGCCGCCCGCAACGGCGAGGACCAGGGAGGGGGCGGAGATTGCTCAGTGACGTCATCCCCGCGCGCCGGGATGGTGGCGCGGCTCCGCGAGATGGGCGGGCCCTGAGGGGCGGGGCGGGCCGTGAGGGGCGGGGCGGGCCCTGAGGGGCGGGGCGGAGCCCGAGGGTCGGGGCGGGCTCTGAGGGGCGGGGCCGGCTCTGGTGGGCGGGGCGGGCTCTGAGGGGCGGGACGGGCTCTGAGGGGCGGGACGGGGCCCGAGGGGCGGGGCGGGCTCTGAGGGGCGGGGCGGGGCCCGAGGGGCGGGGCGGGCTCTGAGGGGCGGGGCCGGCTCTGGTGGGCGTGGCCGGCTCTGAGGGGCGGGGCCGGCTCTGGGGGGCGGGACGGGGCCCGAGGGGCGGGGCGGGCCTGAGGGGCGGGGCGGGGCCCGAGGGGCGGGGCCGGCTCTGAGGGGCGGGGCCGGCTCTGAGGGGCGGGACGGGCGCTGCCGCCTCAGGGGGACGCGGGCGCTGCGAGTGTCCGGTCTGCGGGATTTGTGTGGAATTCCGGGATCAATTAAGTTAGAATAAACCCTCTGAGATCAGTGAGTCCAACCTTCACGTGCTCTGGGTCGCGGCCTCCCTCGCTGCCCTGCCACTGAGATATCCCGGCGGCAATCCACTGGAATGAGAAATTCCGAAAGGCCTTTTTTTGATATTGGTCCCTGCGTTTTATCCAAGGAAAAGAAACCAGCGCACGGAGTCAATGGCAACAGGGAGGGGCAAGGACTTGTGAGGGTCCGGCGTCTCCGCAGGAGCGGCTGCTTTCTGCTCTCCTACACGAGCTAACTCATTAAATCAGAGGAAATTAATTAAATGCCAGCTGGAACGTACAGGAAGGTACTCTCTCACTAACATGCAGAAATCACTGCTGTTCCCATCACTGGAATCTTAATTCAGTGCAAAGTACACGGATGGGCAGCTGAGGAAGGAGAAGGAGTGTTTCTCAACTCAGTAATCGAACTGCAGCTGGGCTGATGAAATCGCCTCTATTCCATCTGCAGCACCACTGTGACATTTTCATTATTTTTTAATCCTGATTCTTCTGTGGTTCTGGCATGAGGGAGAAATAAAAATCTACAAAATATTACTGCCTTTTCACTTCCCCCTTCATTTCACCAATATGCTGGGTTTTGTCTTAATGTAGACATGAACATACCAAGGCAGAAGCTGAATCCTTCTTGCTTTTCCTTGTAGCAACCTGTGACATGGACATCCTAGTCCCACCTGTAATCCTGCATTTTGGCATGCTTGCCTTTTTGCTGGGCTGTATTTGCTTTGCTGGCCATCTTCTCTTAACAGTGGTCAAGAAATCCTTCTTCTCCTCCTGTGCATTAATCTGCCACAGCGTGACCTTCAGTCTTCCTCCAGATTCCCGGGAAAGTTTTGTGAAAATGGCTGCTATTCTCAAAGGACAGGCAGAGGGGAGTGTTAGGCAGCCAAGAGGAAGAAAGCCAGGTTACTTTCCAGTGGCTGTGGTTCCTGGGTATTTGGGGTTTTCTTTTCAGATGTATACATTTACAGTGTGGAGGTTTGCAGAACAAAGTGGAACCAGATTTGTTTTTACTGAAGCCATACTCAGAGGGGGCACACAAGCTCTACCTTCTGTCCCATCATGTACATAATCACAAGCTGGCCATGCGCTGTGGGGAGACTCAGCAGCAGAAGTACCAAAGAAAAGGAGGAAGGATGGAAAATAGGTAGCAATTGTGCACAATGGATATTATAGCTTAGAGAGCTGCAGTTAGTTGTGATGATTTTTCTTCTAAGACCCAGTCTGTAAATGCTGGGTGATTCCAATACCTCTCTGTGTCATACACTTTCTGGGGATGTGCAACTGGTTTTTTTTTCAAAAGAAAAATTATTCTATTAAAGGTGTTAGTGTTCCACGGTGCCTTGGCAGTCATGGAAATGTGGCTGAAAGAGTGATGCCCCAGGCAGGAAGCTCCCAGCACATGGAAGCAAAATCTACTGCAGCCCAGAATGGCCACAGCAAGGAATCCCCCAGGATGACTTACAGAACATTACACACCAATAAAAAATGGTGTTCTTGTATCCAGTGTCCAAAGATGGCTCAGCCACAGAGATGGGAAGATTAGCGAATAAGGCAGATGTTATTTTCTTCATTTGGGTGCAATTCTGCCATCATTGGAGGAATTATGGGACGAGCCCAAAGAGCTATCCTAGCTGGGAATGAGGCTGTACAGCTGACAGAAGTCTCTGAATCTTTGCTAGGTGGAAAAAATGGCCATGAAGAAAGGAATGTGCAACAGCAGACAAGGACTCAAATGGCTGTCCCAGGAAGGGTGTGAGGACAAAGCTCAGATCCTGTGGAAATAAAAGAATTGTCATCAGACACTTTCATGACACAGCCTGTTCTGGACTGGCCTTGGGCCTTTCCTAAAGATGATCTCCTGAAAGGATTCAGCTCCACTCCCCTGGCCCCAGTCAGAGGTCAGACACTGCCTGAATCTCTTACACCCATTTCTTAACCTCTGATGAGGAGAGCTGAGATTCTTTTTATCCCTATGAATGTCCATAAAGGAAGGCAAGACTTGACAATAGCAATTTTCATTTTCCATTTAGTCACTTATTCTAGTGTCAGAAACTTCTGCCTGTCCGAAGTGAAAAGCACTGAAACGTTGTCCCTGTTTCTGGATCTGTATTTGACCTATCCCTGCTTCTCAGTGCTTGATAAAAGCACATTTCTGTTCTGCAGTGGATATGCCAGGTAAAGAAAGGGAACCAGTGGGAAAAAATCAATGACTCCTTGAAAGGGAAGGTTCAGCTTCTTTTTTAGGGGACATGTCAAGGTGCCCAGAGAGCACCCAGAGTATTGTTCTTCACTTGAAGTCAGATGGAAGAGAGGAGAGCTGCGTGATGAAGTGATGTTGAAGGAGCTGGTTCCAGCAGGAGGCTCTCCACTAACTGCTGGAAAACTTAAAGAGCTCCAGTGTCCAAGGGTCTGTAGAGACCTTGATATACCTTGAGTCATGAAAGTCTCAGAGACACTGTAAACATCTCTAGTGTGACAGCTGGAAGGTTCTACAAGGCCAGGAAAAGATTCATTGTGCAAATCACACAGGCTGCAGGCAAGAAAACAAAGGGGGTTTTATGGGTTTCAGAAGTTATGCTGTAGGTTTACAGCTGTGGTTAAGCTGACCTCTTTATATGAGAAAAGGGGAAAGTGATCAATACACTGGCATCTCAGATTATTTTTTGTCTATTTTATCAAATGATCTGCAAAATACCAGTGTTGCAGCCCCAGGGATGCTAAAGAGCTAAAAACAATGACATAATCAAGAGAAAAAAAAATAAAGAAAAGAAAGGAATAAAAGGAATAAAGGAAGGAAGAAAGAAATGAAGAAAGAAAAAAAAGGAAGAAAGAAGTATTAAAAGTGACTTTGAAACACCAAAGGCAGCCATCTAAGTCCTCAAAGTTACCTTTTGATTTTCTGTTTGCATTCCCTGTGTGTTTCTGTGAAACACAGAGCACAAATAGTGGCAGGAAACCAAAGAAGTATCAGCTCTCAGTAGGGCAGCATCTCATCAAGGGAGATGACATGCCCTGTTTGCACACTGCTGCATAGCCTGGGGGAAGAACTCTTGAACTGATAGCTAAGCAGAAAGTTAAGTTTTCAGGTGGTTAAAACAAGGCTGCTTTGGTTTTCTTTCATGCAGGATCTCCTTAAGGGGTTCTCTGGGAGACCACAGACCTCCTCACTTTGAAAAATAAAACATCCTTGTGCTAAGGCTTATTCTCCCAGATCTTACTTATTGCTCTTGGTAGTCTGTGTTTAACTTTATGGAATAAATGAGGTCTATCACTTATCTTTTTGCTACATCTAATAAGTGTGATCTCAGTGTGAACCAGATACATGTGAAAGACATTAAAACCTCACTGGGACACAGGAACTGCATTATCAGGAATGCGAGCCTGTGGAGCAGCTGCTTCCCCAGAATGTGTGCTGGAGAGTTGGGGAATGAGAATCCCATCATTCCTGCAACAACTGCTCTCAGCTGGACACCTCAAAACACCCGAGGGCTTGCACCTCTCCACCACCACAGGAGCAATGGGGGACGTCAGGGCCAGTGTTTGTCTCAGAGGTGTCACAGTTTTATTTCCTCCATGTCTAAGTGTGTTGCCCAGTGCTGTATGCTTCGAGAACTCGTTGTTACAGGAGACACAACAGCTTTTTACACAAGCCATTGGCTTGTAGACCCGGGGGGCTAATAAGCTCCTAGGAAGGTAGCCAGGCTGCAGGGTTGTGCTGGGAATGGTGGCCTTCCAGCCTGCAAGGAGATGTGCACAGGTTCTCAGACACCCTCTGCTTTGCAGTTTTACATCTTCATAGCAAAGCTTAGAGACAGCCAGCCCACACGCTTATCCTGGAACATTTCCCATGAAAGACTTATTGGACAAAATAAAAGCCACTGAGGAAATGTTCATTAAAGTCTAAGGCTCTGTCAACATAGAAAAATTTAGCGGATACCACCACACACCTAGAAATGTATCCGTATAAACCATTATGCAGATTTGGGAAAAAAATTCTGAGTGGTTTGAATGTTACTTCTATGTAATCAAACTGAGACACAATGACTTTTACATTATGCACATGCTTCTGCAGCTGGTTCCATCAACAGATCAACATCTGGCAACATCTGGCTAAAGCACTTCTGGCAGTGCTTTAGCCTCAGGACTAAACCTGGGCTCCTCTAGGTGAGCTCTACTTTGTAGCAGGGCGGGTTTAGACATCACTGTCCATTTCTGCCCTGTGGGAGAGGCAGTGGGCAAAACTTAGCCCAGTGAACATGTGCCACAGCCTTCAGTCTCTACAGAAGACCTCAAGAACACAACTGGGAATGGAATGTAGAAAAAACATGGGTAAGTTTACAAAGAACCCAGAAGAATTTCTGGCTGAACTTCCTT